TGTGACATCATCCAAGTGTCACAATAACAAATGGACAAGATTATGTAATGCTATTTAATTAAAACAAGCCACCCGCTACGGCTTCGCACGAATGCCAAGCTGATTTTAAACTTCTTCACCTATTTCTTTAATCCTGCAATCTTAAAAAAACTGCAAAGAGTTGTTCCGTGTGGGAACCGAACCCACGACACGTTGCGTAGCAGCCAGTTGCCCAGCCACTGCGCCAACCGTGCAACGTTAGTTAAACAATCACAGGAACACATTTACATATAATTAGCCCGTGACCTAGCAATAGCAGGAATTCAGCGTAGGTAGACTCTCAGGTATCTATCTACTTACATTTATTTCATCAAAGTCCACTTCATTATTTTCATAACATTAATTTGCCTTGTTAATCATCACAACATATAAAAGTACATATAACATTTCGGAATAAACAAAAACAAACCTTATTTCTACGAATAAAACAATTAGACCTAATAAATAAATAATGTTTATTTATTTTTTACTTCTAATAACCTAATTGGATACGGTCTAGCGGCTGCTTTATTATTCGACGTTTTGACCCAGAGAAAAAAAATGACATTTATAATATTTATTGTGGAAAAAGAGGGATTATTTATTTATGTCAGTAACATAATAGGCCTGAGTTGAGGTGCGAACCACACGGCTTTAACAATGAAATTAAATGTTATGATTATTGACACATACATACTCGTACCTACCTAAATAAACCGCAATGATTGTACAATATTCCACGAAATTCAAGAAAAAGTCTGTTATTTTTTTACAAGGTGCAAATCATTAGGTAAATGACTTTTTGCACAGGGTAAAGGCTTGAGCGAGTGTCAGACTCTTACTGACTAAAATTCCCCCCGTTTCTAGGTCCACAACCAAAAATGCAAGGCTGTAACTTAGATAAAATGAATTAATATTTTCAGTAGGCTTCGAAATAAACATTATAATTCATTACTTATTATATTGACGCTGAATATTGGAGTAATACTAAAATTAATATTATAAAGCTGAAGAGATTGTTTGTTTGAACGCGCTAATCTTAGGAACTTCTGGTTCGAAATTGAAACAATATTTTTGTGTTTGATAGACCATTTATTGAGGAAGGCTTTTAGGCTATTAAACATCACGCTTTGATCTATGAGAGACGAGACCAGATTTGCCAGTATTCAAATATATTTTACTGTACCTAGGTAGGTATACTACACATTTTGCCATTAACATAGGTACCTAATGCATAGAGAATGAAACCCATGGATCTAATAGGAACCGAGCCTGTTGTCAAACAATATACCCAAAACTTCCTACTATTCGTTACTAAGAAGAAAACTTTACCCAACGTAGTCAACAGTTCGGCAGGTTTCCAAACGCCCGTCTACATTACAAAAATGTGCCCAAAGTGTTTGCGAACAGAATTCAGATTCCTGTATCAACTGTGGTTAAGTATAATATCGTAGGCAAAGACGATAATATTACCTAGATTCAGTCTGGTTAGAAAGCAGTGCTTTCGATTCAATATTGCCACTGTAAGCGATACTTTTGTGGCTTCGGAACCAAGTTCATTTGTTCAATGAATGCGACTAATTAAGCTAGGAGTCGATACTCTAGAACTAACCTCTCTGTGCAGATTGTGTGGAATCATTGGAGCTGCTAAAGACTAGTAAGTGCCTTCGTACTTGGTTGATAACTATTGTAAGAGCCTTATTGTTTTACTAGCTCTGCGGTTTCAACCATGTGCCTCCATTCTTATGTTATTTGGATAGGCTGATTGATGATGTATGTAGTATAGTACCTAATAGTGCGTAGATAGTTAGATAGTAAGCAAATAATTTAGAACATAATTATAATTTAAATGATACCTAGTTGATCAATTAAGTCGTGAACTTGACGTTAACAGCACCCCTACCTATAGCTGTTATCCCTGGAATCGAAAAATATCAGAGAATGAGTAAGTAACATAGAGTTTATTTTGATTTGATACTAATTTTCAGTCGAATAAGTTTCTAGCAATAAAAAAATATTACAATACTGACAAAAATCAATTTCGATAAATTATAAAAAAAATATCTTAAGTCAAACTTTTTCAGTACCTACTTAGATAATCCAAGAAATCTAACTTTACTAACTAACACTTGAAAGCAAAACATGTTTGTGCCAATTTTCGTAACAAGATTTTGTGGTCAACGTCTAGAATCCTTTTAAAATGTTTTCATTTATTGCTAGACTATTGTTTTTTTTTTGTCTATTTTCGGCCAGGATAAGTACCTACGCAACCCGTTGTTCCTAAAACTGAATGCCTACTTGATTAAAGCGTTATAATGTATGGTGTGGCCGTGGTATATGAACTCACCCGTTTCGTACTAGTTATTAAGAAGGTCTCATAATATTGGACTTCTTATAGTTAAATAGGTATTATCGACGTTAATATTATTAAAATTACTAACATGTAGATATACATAGGTTATTAAAATTATAAATAACCAACCACTCTGTCTTCAACTTTTTGTGTGCAGCAAAAACTGATTAATTATTTAAAATTTGATTAATAGGTATTTACAATTTGTATGGCAATTAATTTGTTTTTGTTTTTCATGTTATGAATTAATGGGTCGTTATAAAAATGTTGAGTAGTTTTTGTTTAAGTACACATGTTTCTTAAATTGCTTCCTTATCTGTGATGACAGGATATTTAGGGGTTTTTTACCCTAGGAAGTAAAAACTAATACAAGATTCCTGTGCTTAGGTATATCTAGGAGACATAGATAAAAAAGATAGGTACATTAAAGATTACATCTTTATTATTAGGTACTGTTAGTAATATTTCACTTATTGTTTGTTATTTCTAAAATAGTATCTATATATTCATACTAATTTAAGACATAAACTAGGTAGAAATCACAGCTACAGTATTCCAAAAACATTCTAACGGTTATAATGTGTTACAATACTATACGAAACAAGTGTGGGAGAGCCATGCTTCAGCACGAATGGGTCGGCTCGACCGGAGTGATACCACGGCCTCACAGAAAACCGGCGTGAAATAACCACAGCGTTGTTTCGCCGTGTGAGTGAGGTTACCGGAGGCCCAATTCTTCCCCTCCCCCAATCCCTCCTCAATCCCTTAATCTCCAAATCCCTAATCCCTAAAAGGTCGGCAACGCACTCGTTACTCCTCTGTTGCGAGTGTCCATGGGCTTCGCTGATTGCTTACCATCAGGTAATCCATCTGCTCGTTTGCCGACCTATTACATAAAAAAAAACAATACCTAATACCGAAGTAATTAAAAATACAAATCACGTACATCAACAAGCTAAGAACAAATGTCAGTACAACAAAAAAAATATTTGTCCTCGCACGGAAATCGAGCCGCTGTGTGTGACGAAAACTACTTAGCTAAGGCTAGAATAACAGACTCTTAACATCCTCCTGACATCCGAAAATCCTTTTGTTTGCATATGTACCTACCTACATAGTGTTTTAAGCAGGTGCCAAAGTATAACTAAGTAACCGATAAATATCTATTGTAGGTATATCCTTTAGCTCATAAAAAAACAATAAAATTTCTCCTATCCAAACTTAGTGAAAAAGGCTTTCAATAACGTTTTTTATTCATTGAAGAGAAGATAGAGAAGGTGTCTATCTATGCCTACCTACTAACCTACACTGAATATGTATAAAAAGTATTCCTAGATGCCAAATTCCAGCCAGCAGGAGAAGGAACGGAATGGTTTATAGTCAGTAAGAGTATGACAGTTTAAGTATGACATTTTTAATAAGACGTGTCTTTGGTGTCTTTTTAACACTTTGTCTCCCACCTAGATCGAGAGAAGTCATTTACATTACACTGGTAGGTATCTATTTACTAACTTTTAAACTTTCGCGTTTCATCTTAAGAACATTATATTTACGCGGGTATTAACGCGGAAAATTATAATTTGAATACCTGTATCTATTTACTAGGTATCTATTTACTATAAGTATACCAACTTCCTCAACAATTTCCTATTTCGGAAGTAATTTTGATTATTGGTGGTATAACCTACTATTGGTTAAACGTAGGTACGATTTCCCCGGAAGAGAAGCACAATTAGGTACCTCACGCCAGGCGTCTATATCAGACCACTAGATCAATAAGGCGGTTTACCTCATAATCAGGCTGCCAGCATTCAGTGTAGCATATATTTTTCATCCCAGCCTCATAACCAACATTATCTGAATAAATATTAGAAGCCTTAAACGAAACCCTTCTTATGGGCAACTTTGTCTACTAAGAACTTTATCTTTTGAAGAATTAGGTACACCATACACCATTCATTCCATGTCAAATTAAAGCCAATATTCTCACTAAATTCAAACTCTGACCGGTATTAAGAAAAAAATTTGGACAACAACAAGACATTGAACAAATGATTAGGTACAATATTAATGAGCTTGGTTTGGGTACCCAGTGAAAGATATTGAAATGAAAGCGAAACTAATAGGATGCGACCGTCGAGCCATTCGTGGAGAAAATTTTGATAGACTAATGCCCTTGGTCAGCCTTGGTTAACTTTCAAGAAATGTCTCTCTGCACGTTTGCACAGAATTCACCTAGAAATTATGCACCTAGATACCTGGGGCTAATGTTGATTTGTATCGCTCAAAGTACGTTACACATTTTTAATAAAACTCGTGTCTTTGTGACATTTTCTTGGAGACTTGGAGATCTCTACGATTGATATAGAACCTACCAAACTAATGCAACTATTAATGTAATTACGTAGATAAGTAAATAAACAACGATAAAAAAATAAAAATGTTTCAATTAAAATAAAATGAGTGTTCATATTTTATAAGAGATCTATTTATATTTTTGCAAACAATTATTATTAACGGTTTCCTACATTAAGAATAGAGGAAATTATAAATAACAATTATTTTTTAACACACAGTCATTTTTTATTTTTATTATATTAGGTAAAAAAATAATTTAAAAAATACTCACGAATATCAGTCGTCGCCACATTTTAAATAAAATTTATTTTACTAGCTACTTCACTGTAATAACTAAGTAACTCTCGATTATTCAACCTAAAAATACTGCACAACACTATTATCGAGAAGTTGACGTTACAATTTCCCGCCCAACACTGCGCTTACGACTCCTTTGCCGTTCATAATATTGGAAGCGAGCGGCTACCGCGCTTACAATTTATATAACATCGCCAATCCAACGCTGCACAATATATAATTTAACTTTAAATCAACGTTGTTTTGTTTTACACAAGTTAGATAAGTAAGGTGGCCGCATCATAATTTGCACATTAATTCATCCATGAAATTATCTCTCTACAATCTGTTAAGTATCCGCCTAATTACTTATTGCATATTCTTCCTAGGCTCCAAGAATGCGTAAAAACTTGTCTGCGTTAAAAATATAAGAATAAAAAATAAGGCTGTGGCAATAATCTTTAATTTAAGTAACTGCTTACTTAAATTAGCGATGATCTTAAACTACTTACATTCCGGAAATTCCTATCATTAAATGAACTTTTAATATGTGTATGGATCATTTTTCTGTGACTATCCAGCTATTTCTAGGTAAATAAGTAAGTATATTTTGACTGCACGGTTGCCGCGGTGACTGGGCAACTGGCTGCCGTGCAACGGTCGCGGGTTTGATGCCCGCACGGAACAACTCCTTCTGTGATCCACTCATTCTGATCTCTCTGATCTGATGATCACTCATGTGGTCTATGTGAAATTGTATGTTTGTAACTGCACCCACGACACAGGAGAAAAATCTAAAGTGGGGCAACGTATTAAAAATAAAATAAATAAATAATGTCTGTTTATCCGTATGTATCAATATTGGTCGGGGCAGGGGCCATAGTATTTCCATAGTTTTCATCCACTAGTGCATAGCAATCCATACCCATAACCATATTACCACATTTCACAATAGTCCTGCATCAACCGGGGATTGTCCTTGGGTGCACTTTTATATTGCATACAGGGATAATAGCCGGCTGATGACCCATTACATTTAGATTTTAATTGTACAACGGGCCTCTGCGAGTTGGCTTCGGCTCCTCGTATGCCTTCCCGTGTGTGGTCCCGTGACAGGAAAGGCCAAATAAAAATAATTTTAGGCCTTAAGAACTGGTAAAACGTCTCTTCCTGCGAAGCAATGATTGCTAGCAAAACAAGGAGCTAGGCGGTGTGCGTGAGTGAACGAGCCTCCTCACAACCTAGCCGCCGCAGAAGACATACCTACTGGGCCACCACAAACGCGGGCAAGAATAGCGTGTTAAAACCCTGACCTGAGCGTACGAAATGACGCTCCTAAGTCATCAGACAACCACAAAGGAAGCCCATGAGGGCCGACGGGCCGACGTCCAGCCGGGGTTGATAGTGTAAGCACGATTAATAATGTACATTAAAAGCCGAGGACGAATCGTGGTGGTTTTTAGTCTTAAGTGATACTATGATTTACCACACACAAAAAATCTTATTGTAGGTACCATAACATAGCTAGCCATATACATAGGTACCTACTATTACTTACGAGTACTAGGTACATTGTATTGTATCACTACGCCGCGCTCGCGCCCGTCGGTCGTCTTGTAGTAGGTACGAATCCACAGACTTACGTAATAATTTTAATTATGTATCTCGCGTCGTGTATAATACCTATTGTAATTATAAGAGCTATAGAACAACACCTACGTGACTAATTACCTGACCATGAGCTTTCAGACCGCTAATGGTAACAAATAAATAAAACTTTGAAAACGTTACACCACAGTGCTAACTTTGTCTAGCATAATAAATAATAGCTTTAAAACGGTCATCTGGCCCAATGTGCCTTCACCTTCATCTTACAACAAATTTAAATAAAACAAAGTTAATTTAACATTTTTTAGTTCAAGGCAAACACTACCAAAATGGTCAGTTATAGGTTTATTTTAAATACATATTAAGAAACAATTAATGGTTTACCCTACGATTCGTCACCTATACAAACAGTTCAATGGTAACACTTAAGCCTTGGTCATTGCCCTCCCCTCCGAAAGGAGTACCGAACATTGACGAAGATTAACTTTACGCTTTTGTTCCTTTGTGCTACGATGTCACAGTCGCTTAATATTTATGATGTTAGTTTAAAGTTAAACTATAAAATATACTACTGGTCTAACAATACGAATCAGTTGAATGAGATTCGTAAGATATTCTATTCATGCTAATTAACATTCACCGCTGATCCTAAGTAGTTCACGTAGTGCCTACTACGTGAAAAAAATAATTTCTTTTAAAATGTGCGTTAACAACAAACACTTAAAATTTTCTTTGTCTTTCTTCTCTTAACAAGCTGGGCCTTAACACCGTATATTAATAACATACAACACATCTGCACAGATACAGATCTCTATGCTATACTATAACCTTTTTCAGCTAAGCAGTGGAATTTTTATGACATTTGTAAAGAATTGTATAACCCTCAGGTGTGTTCAACAAAGAAAAACTAGTTTTATATTTAATTAGATGCTCCGTGACCAATTAGACATAATCTATGTTGTGTTATGTATTCAACTCGTGCGCATCTTCCGTTGACGTATCATATTATTAAGACGCAATTTGAAATTGAATAATACAAGGTCTGGATCTAATCTTTGACGATGACCATATTGTAATTGTTAAGATCAGAATAATATCCGTTATCTAAATACAAGGGACAGTCACGCAATTCGAATTGTTAGTGGCGCACCGTTTAAAATAGATTGACATTTTCACAATACTGTTTATTGGGCAAAACGTTTTTTGTTGGCACAAAAACAGATGCAAGGTCAAACGCGACAGGTATTACATCCCATCCAGTTTCATCAGACATCAGACAATAACCAAGGGTTCTACTTACCTATAATGCAGTAGAAATCTATTATAAAATTCATGTGGAACTAAATAAAAATTAAAATACATTCAAGTTTACTTTGATTTCTTTATTGGATATCGCCGGTACAATACTAGTTGACCAATTTAAAATGCAATATTTATTATTGTATCACTTCGAACAGTACTTTCGAACGCTATTTGTACACAGGACAACATACATAAATGATTGAATACTAATTTTAAAATAATACACGGCAATATTTCTACTTTTCATCTGGTGTGTATCGGCGTATAAGCAAAATATAAAAATAAGAATAAAAAACAATATCAAGTCTTTAGTTCGTGTATTGAACTCATGTCAAGTTCTCTAATCAATTTCCTACTACAGTTAATACAATATTTTGCGTGCTACAGTTATACAAAAATGTCAGTGGACACACATTACCTCTAAATACAGAAACATTTTAATTTAAGACTTATAATTTACCTTACCCTACATTTTTAATCTCTTATGATCATATTCACAAGCGACAACTAATACTGCTAACGAAAGGACAACGTGTATCGAGACTTCTTTTAATTCATTTCCACGTTAATGTAAATAAACAGACTTTGTCCAGTTACTACATCAACAAAGCAAGTCAATGTTTTATTCACGGCAAAGTTAGACAATGCAGTGATGTAAAAAGAAGAATTTCAAAACACACCAAAGGAAAAATAGAAATGTATGACTACAATAAAGTTAAAAACGACTTCGCAATCAGATCATTTCGTTTAAAACATATTAAAAATTAGATAAATAGTTCTCTATGCACATAGCATTTGCATACATAAAACTACTATGTAAAAAAACATATCACGGACCTGTAGGTTAAATGAGAAACTAAAGTTTCTAAGATACTAAGGGAGCCTATCTAAAATATTACGATTGATAAATATTCCGTACAAGCTATATTCGACTTACGACTATGTAGCAACATATCACATCCAGTAATCGATCCATAGCCACAGTAATCAGAGGACTTACTGACAACCGACCACACCTAACTATTAGTGGGATTGAATATGTACTTGAAAATTCTACACTCATTGAGTAATTAGCTTGGAGAAATTCACGCATCCATTACAATATTAATAGTTCATTTATAATACATCCACACACGACAGTTTCCTGAAGATTGATCTAATTAATGTTTTATTTTACAAAACGATTCAAGGTAAGTACTTAGGAATAATCACATCATCATATTTTATCGAAAGTATTATTTTATAAATCATAATATATAAAAGTGTATATTTTAGTATAAATTTACACACGTACTTGTTCCAAGAAATACATGAAAATATAATAATTCATTACAATTTTGTGACAATTATTTTATAAATAAATAGGTATCTATACAAAAAAGCTTGAGACATACCACATGAAAATTATGCATAGAATAAATCCTAATCATTGATATTATGGATAGGGCCTAGTGATGAAAATACATAGGTTCAAAACTGACTGGTACGTTACAGAGTTTAATTATTGGACATACTTATATAAGGAGTTACCTTTTCAGAAAATACTTTCATATTCCCTTGTATACAAAACACAAGGGTTTAATAGAAATTCAGAAAAATATGTAATAATAACCAAACTCACATCAGACTGACGTGTTTGGAACAATTTTAAGTAAGTCGTGGAATTACGGATACATCGGATAAATATACTTATAGGTACAAAAGAGAATACATATGATAAGACCAAATCCAGCGCGGCTCATCGAGCTTCGGAGGAAGAATACAATAGTGAATATTTAAAGCCACGCTACTCGCTTAACAAGGAAGCAAGTCATTCTTTATAGAGGAACACTCGATCACGCACATCAATCTTAACACTGAACATGGGCACACTCGAGACTCGCATGCAGGTAGCAGTCAGCCGCGTCTACCACTGAGGGTTGGGCGGCAGGTAGCCTTCCGGCGCGTACGTGGGGGCCGGCGGGGCTCCCGCGTACGGAGGCATCGCTCCACCTGGTCCAGGGTACCCCGGGTAGTACGCGCTGCCGCCGTACCCGCCGTAGTACGCCGGGGTCGGATATGCACCATAACCCATCCCGTAACCTGCGGATACAAGATTATTAGTTATCTATCTTTGAAAAAATATATGTTTGTCTAAATGAACAGAATTTACCTGGGTACTGAGGATAAGGCCCGTCGGGAGGAGGATTAGGATGACCGACAGGATAACCTTGTGCAGGTGGCCCGGACGCCCCGAGCGGTGCATGGGTCAGTGGTCCCGGCGCGGGCGACTTGGATAAATCGGCCGGCGCTGCAGTGCCACCGCTCATCATAGCGGGGTGGCTCAAGCTCAGCGGCATGCTGGGCGACGGCTTCATGTGTGCGTGTGGGTGTGGAGGGGGCTCGTGTGCTCGGCCCATCAGGCGGGAGTGCGCGCCCATAGGGTCGTGGGGCACGCTGGCCATACCGCCCATACTGGGCATACTGGGCACACTGGCCACGCTGGGCACGGAGGGCGCGGCGTGTGGCGCGGGGTCGGGCTTGCGCTGGCGCGGCGGGGCGGCGGGGCCCAGAAGACTGGAAACGCTGTGAGGGACGGGCGCGGCGGGGGCGGGGACACTGTGCGCGGGGTGGGCGGTGTGCGCTGGTTCCGCCACCGCTTCAGGTTTAGCAGGTGAGCGACGTTTTTTGGTCTTGGTGCTAACTTTCTCTTCACCGGTGGGTGAGTAAGACTGTGTAATGTCGTCTAAGTTCCTCCGGAAGTCTGGCATGCCATCTTTGTTCAAAACACTCGCCGTGCGCTCTAATTGGCTGAGACTTGATTCGAGGGATGGTCGACCGCCTGGTCTCTGGTGCCTATAATTTTTTAGTGGGTTTATTTTCCGTTCGACAGCATCGTTCGAATTACGATTTAAATCTGCTGTGTCTACTCTGGAGATGTCTGCCATGTCTAGTCTAGAGATTTCTGCTGTGTCCACTCTAGACATGTCTGTTGTGTGTGGCGGTTTAGGTGGTTCCATGTTTTCTTCCGTAGGTTTATTTTCTAGAGTTTCCTCAGAGGGCAACTTTTCATCTGTAGTTAACACGATAGGTTCGGTTTCGGATTTTGGTTCAGTCTCAACTGTCCTGTTTGGCTCTTGTGGTTCGCTAGACTTGGGAGGTTCTGCAGTTTCTAATTTGTTCTTATCTTGTTCTACCTCAGAAGAAGTTTTGGAATCTTGTTTGTTTTCTTCCTCATCATCACTATCTAATATTTGAGTGTCTTCTTCAGAATTTACGTCCATCTTACTAGTAGAGCCCGATTCATTGCCATCGGTTTCAGATTTCTTGGGCTCTCTGGGAATTTTTGTAATACTCACTGATCCTGGTAAGCTCGGTCGTAGCAATCTTCCCTGTAATGGAGACTTCGGTCGCATTCCCGTGTACGATCGCAGTTCACCGAGTCGACTCCTGATGTCGGATATTTTCTGTCCAGGCATCATAGGCCTCATTTTATTCTGTCCTATTATTGATGGACGTATCACTCTGTGGAAACCAGGCCTGGGGCCTTTTGATGTAATTGTTATTGCTGAATTATTTTTAAGAGAGCCCGGAATGTTTGATACAGGACGACTGCCTAAAACTAGAACAAAAAACAGGTGTCACAAATATAAAGACGTATTATCGTACGTATTATTTCAGAACTGCAACAGCGCGGATAAAACTGGATCTTACCTTTTTTTCCTATGGGGTTATTGTCCTTGTTATCGCCACCTTTTTGTCCCAATCCCTTAAACGACGTCTTGATAGCGATAATTTTGCCCGATTCCAACTGCATGTAAATGCCTTTCGGTGATTTTAATACCATAACACGCTGACCGGCCTTCAAAACTATATTTGTCTTCTCAGCCGAGTTTGTAGGTATCACGACATCTGTTGAAGAAGGTAAAGCAATCCATTTATGGCGTTCATTTTAATTTGTCCTTACTATAAGCGTTATAGTTAAAAAAGTTTAAACTAAAATAAATATTTGACAGTTCAGGCATCAAGATGACTTAAAATTGAGGTAGAAGAATATTTAAAAAAAAATTTTTACTTCATTAGATTGAACCTAAATGGCAATGTACCTATGTAAGTTAACTTCTTCTTCGTGAACTCAGCTGATCATTAGTCCCAGTTTCACTTGAAACGAAACGATCACCCTCGAAAAGTGTATGTTAGCCTTAAATATTATTTAGATAGTAGTGTTTACTTTAAAGATATATAATGACGCAAGTTACCTAGGGGTAACGTCATTTCCTGCGCCGTCATGCCTTGCCTGCGCCATACGTCGGCGGGTATCCACCGCGCGCCATGTTGCATGGGCCGCACGGAAGCAACAGGCCGCTGCACTAGCGCGCCGTCTGCCGTGCGCACTGTACGGTACGCTGTCGTCGGCTTCGGGGCTAGTGCTGCCTTCTTTTCTAACTCGTACCTTTAGGGATAAAATTATTATTATTATTCATCATTACCCTTTAATAAGTTTATTCAAAGTAGTGGTAGAAATATGGGATTTATTTAGAATAATATTGAATTCTGCATTTGTGCGTTTTTTATGTTAACTGATTGCTTTATTTTATATAACTAAGCAATATTGCTCATTGTTTACCTATTAAAGACAAAACTATATCACATCAGATGGAAAATGTGTCGAGCATACGCATTATCGGTAAGATTTACATCTTGTAAGTAAATGTTATAATTTATACGAATCAACATAATGAATATGATTACAAATTATGGATGGTTAATTCTCACATACATCAAATACTTATTATGAAACTTACCCTCTTTGAGCCAGCCTCTTTTCGGCGCTAGACAATTTCTTCTCCTTTCTGTCAACGAGTAGCGACTCATGTTGGAACGGCTCCTTGCTCAGCATCCTACCGTGTTGTGTTATAACGCCTTGCATCAGAACATCTATGTATTTATCTTTGTGTTCAGATAAATCTTTTATTTCAGTTTCCTGGAACAAACGTTATAAATTGTAGTTGAAGTTTGGCCACACATAAAGACTAACTTAATGTTTGTCTGTGTCATTTTTTTACGATAGTCCAACGTCATAGCGATACACAAAAAATCATATGCTCCTTAATAGGAATTGCTACTATATCGTGGGTCCGTTAACTAAATTACACAATTTCATACACAAATCACACTAAGACCCGGGACAACATAACATCGAAACCAGCCAGTAGCCCGGACACAGCGCCCACTGTCCGAAAGGGCTTAAGTTAGGTTTTTTTTACTACGATTGGCTGTATGGTGATTACGTCAAAACTTCGTCGATGGTTATGAACATTGTTCTCGAATAAAGAATAAAAGTTATTATATTCATAAGAAGTTATGGGCATACCTTTTCATCATTATCGAAACATAAATTAGTAATTTCTTTCATAGAGAGAACTGCGTCAGGATTGCACTCGTCGACTACGCGGTCGGCCATTCCTTGCTTATTGATCTGACGATCGTAGATCTTCTTCTCAAGGCAAAAGTCCATAACAAAACGGTAGACGAAGCAAGGTTTCCGTTGACCGTATCTAAATAAATAGTATATCTAATAGTTAGTCACATGTTTAAAAAAGAAGTAAATTAATTAAATAGTAAGTAAGATCAACGATAAATGGATAAGTACAATATTTACTAGTCGTTTTATATACAAGACGAAACAAGAAACTTTATGAAATGCATCTCATGTTCATTTTTGCAATTTTCCTGAATGAACGTTAAGCTATACTTGCCTATAAACTCGACAAACAGCTTGCGTGTCGTGGCAAGGATTCCAACTGGCGTCGAAAACGATTACTCTGTTAGCCCCAACGAGATTAATGCCGAGTGACCCTGCACGAGTCGACACGAGGAACAAATATATGTGTGGGTTAGCATTGAACTCATTGATCAGCTTTTCACGCTCTAGGGCGTGAGTAGAACCGTCCAAACCTGTAAAAACATTATTCATTAGTTACTGGCAAGAAAAATAGAAAGAATATAGTGCTTTCTGTCGGACTTACGGTAGTAGTTAGTATTTCGCTCCCAGAGACAATTTGTCCCCGGAATATAATTCTTTTCTAAAAAGTCTTCAATGAGATTCAACGTAAATAAACTTTGGCTAAACAACAATAGCCTATCTCCAAGCTTTATACTCTCGTTCAATATATAAAAGAACAATTCCATCTTCGCAGAATTCTCAATAATCCCAGGAATGTAATCTTTTAACAACTCAGCTGCCCAATCGTACGTCACTTCTTCAGCTTTCTTAACCATAGCTAATTCCTCCTCCCTGTTCATTTTCTCTTCCTTCTCACTTTCCTCAGAATCGGAGTCATCATTATTCTTTTCCTTCGACGTTTTTCTGTCATTCCTCCCTTTAGGTTTCGCTTTACTCTTTGCCTTTGACTTTTTGCTATCTTTCCCTTTACCTTTGGGTGGCCTACCTTTTCCCCTAGGAACTTCTTCTTCAGATTCAGATCCATCACTTTTACCTCCATCAGGTTTCGACTCTTTGTCTTTCTTTTTTGGAGTTTCTGGTTTTTGATTTTGAACTTGTGGTTGGTCATTCAACAGAAGTGGTTGGTATTGCTTCTTTTCATCTTTAACTATCTTCTTTGTGTCCAAATCTTCTATTTTTACTTCACCATCAGATTCCGACTTTATCTCCGTCTTTTCCTCAGCTTTAAGTTTATCAATTTCAGTCTTTAATTCTGTTATAGGCCACGCTGTTACAGGGCTACCAGAGCTAGCACTACCCAGAGGCTGCTTAGTTTCAAGATGTGGTGGAAAGTTCTGATATGAGCATGGATAGTTACTCGCATTGGAGTTACTTTCTTGTTGTTCAGGATAAGCAGGCGTATTCTGAGGATAGCCATAACCAGGATTGTTATATGGCACAGCATTTGCATTTTGCGTTGGCGGGATTTGTGAGTTGTGCGGAATATTCGGTTCCGATTTGATTTCAGTGGGAGGATAATTCCCAGGATGAGTAGTGGGTTCATTTTTAATAGGAGGTTGAGTTGGCACATTGTCAGTTTGATTGGAAGGCATATTGTTGGGGAAGTTAGAGTAATTCGTCGGCTGGTTTTCATATTGGTTGTATGGAGTAGAATTATTCCCATATCCAGACGTGTTTGCGGCATATGGTGGAGGATATGACTGATTAGAATATCCTTGCTGAGACGCGGGATTATTGGGATAAGGTCCCTGAGGCACTGTGTTATTGGGGTAAGGTCCCTGTGGCGTGTTGGCACTATACTCAGAGTATCCAGGGTGATTGTGATAGCCCTGGTATGGAGGTCTTTGCTGATTACTGGTATAATTGTCTTGGTTATTCGAGTAGGGTTGCATCGCGTTGCCTGGGTAAGACTGGTCGTTTGGCGGCGCGTTATAATTCGGTGGGTAATGCTGAGAGTTATTGTACTCGGGAGGAGGGTTGCTCCTGAAATCTTGGGGGGGCTGACTATTCTGTTGGTATTGAGGATTGTTATAATATCCTGAGTTGCCATAGTAGTTGCCGTTACCCCAGTAGTTCTGGTTATACCCTTGCCCACTTTCCGGAGGCATGTTCTGCGGGTATTGGTTCGGGTAATTGTTTCCATATGGGGGTTGTTGCTGTTGCTGTTGTTGTTGTTGGTAGTAATTGCTGTCATAGTTCTGGTTGTAACCTTGGTTTGGTGGATAGTACCCAGGACCTGGGTTCTGATAGTTGTGGTACGGTGGGTAGGATCCAGAAGGTTGGTCGGGTCTGAAGGTGTTCGAAGGTGGACCGTATGGAGCGTTAGGATACGGCGCGTTGCCGTAAATGCTGCCATCGGGGCGCGGCGCCATTGGACCAGTGGTTGTGTTAGGCGGTATGGTCGCTGCTGGCTTTTTTGAAGCTCCCTGTAAAATTACCTTTGATTAATGTTACAAATATTGAAACTATCAAATCATCCATCATTTTGGTTGGTTGTTTTAATTTTACAATACAATACAATTTTACTTAAATTCAATAATATTACGATATACTTAATATTACTATTCTATACATACTATACTTTTCCAGATACAAGTATGCAATAAAAACAATATTCATATAAAACTGATGATTTTGATAATTTGCAAAATGATTGAACTAGGCTATTTGTCAAATCCCAATTAATTAATTGTATATGTCTATCTTAATCGTTTATGTACACTTACCCTAGGTTTCCCCGGCCGTCGACCAGGCTGCGTCTTGTTATTACGTGCGCGTCCAGCCTTAGTGACGCCACCAATTTCCTCTAAATCCAAGTCTTCTTCAATAGCGGCGTTAACTTCACTACGCTTCTTGAGGAAGTTGTATAGGACATCGGGGTGGTTCCATATCTATAGTAAAAAAATCAATATTATAGTGATCAAATACATATTATCGAGTATTTCTGCATTAGTGTAAGTCAGAGTTGACGTCGAAGGTGACAAGTATAACTTCTGAGCTTAGGATATTGACTTTAAACCTTGCTTTAATAGAAATTATTTATTTATTTATTTAAAAGTTTACAATATAATCTTTACAGGTGTACACCCACGGAATAGATAAATAAGGTTGGAAAGGCCCTAGCTCCAATTTTGTATTAGGACCAGTGTCGCCGCTTGTCTCCCACTATTTTAATTTCTACACATACGCACTAGTATGTTTACAAATATTTCGCACACAACCAAATCACACACACATAAATCTCAGGGCAGAGATTCGTTCGCACACTAGCTCTAAGGTCTCGTAGGCATAGACACACACATGCAAAAAAGCTCATACGCGCTAGTGCTTGATAAAGTCGATATTCTTTATCGATAAATATCTGATGAATGCATGGGAAAAAATGAAACATGAAATAAATATTAAGAAATATTTATTTTACTTTTATTAATTACAAATAATCACTGTCCTTGGAATAAAACGTATTTATTAAGCAATTGGCGCTTGCTATCAATGGTTAAAGAGTTTTTCAAAACAAAGTGTAACCTTACGTTAATATATTTTTCAACAATTGCTTTGGTGAGGTCTGTGACGTGGTTTGCTGTAGGGTATTGGCCAATTTGATGATAAATTATGTTTTTAAATATTTCACTTCCTACAAAATGACGCATAATTTTTGCCATCAACATTTTTTTGTTTATATTACGGAGGTTTTCCGTGTAAATTTTGATAACAGACTCTGAAATTTTACAAATCTGTATCAAATCTCTTGACGGGTATAACAGACCACCCTTATCTTTAGCAACTATAAATTTATGGTCTTCATTTATGCTATTGGACAACAGCGCTCCAATGCAAATATCACAATCTATTTTCTTAATTAAAATATGCGCTATGTATCCTGAAATATGGCTAATGATTTGATTGCTAAAATCTGAGATGGTATTGAAAAATGCGTTAATATCCTCTTCATTATTATTATTATCATCATCATCATCGTCATCTTCAATCGCAATCCTTCGTATGGATCTATTAATCCGTGCTACAGGAGATGATGCACAATCAAGAATTGAAATGTGTTCAAGCGCAGTACAATTTCCACTATCGAGAGCTTTTAACTCAATATGAACTAAAAGTTTTTTGTACGCAGCTTTAAACTGGCGGGCCGTGGGGTTATTGTTACCTCCACCATGTGACCTAATATTTCCAAAAAGCATTTCAAGGTGATCCTGGCTTACTTTGTAAAATGGCATAAAAATCAGAACTCCAGGACGTATTAACGTTTCATAAAAATGTTTAACAGCTTCAGCACATCCAATAAAACCATTGAAACCAGTCTTACGTAAACTTTTTGTCAAAAGAGTTCCCTCTTCTGTTCTCAACTCGGATAGGTACGTCGTCGCCATGTCTAAATAATTAAGCAGCATTGCAGCGTTGGATTCTGTTAGAGCTTTTTTGAAGTTATATTCATATGTGTTTCGGGAATTAAAAATGTCGAACATGTTATTGATAATCCTCAAAAAAAATGTTGTGCTTTCACTATTTTTGAATGAAGGTAGATTTAATTGGTCACGACAAAAGTCTATAGCGTCTGCTACACTTAGGCTGAACAATTGCGTTGCGAGCTTAACTTTCATCTTATTATTTTGAAAATGAACATGATGGTAACGAAGCTTGTTCGCTAAATGAAAGCCTTCCTTCATTTGAAGGTTATTTAATTGTTCCAAAAATCGCCATTCTATGGTATTACCATCTTTATCTAAAAATGTGTTATAGCATTGAAAAGCATTACGGATTAATTTTATCATGTGTGATGGGTCTAGCACTACAACAACTGGATTATTCGTTGACGGGTGTGGAAAAGAAATTTTTTTATCTTTGATTGAACAGTTTAAGCATTCTACCATTGCAATGTTTGCAGCGCATCCATCAAAAGTTAGGGAAATTATTTGTATGCCTGTTTCTGCTATAAGTTCCAAGCATTGTAAAATTAAGTCTGCGCGTTGTCTTCCGTTAATTCCGTCAACTAAGAAATATCCAACGGGAACCTTAAAATTACAATTTATGCCTGTCACCAGAAATACCAGAGCCTCTTTGGCTATTCCTACGTGGTCTCCTTCGATGCCACTGCCAATATCAACATGTCCGAGTAATTTTTTTCCATCCCATTCTATACGACGACGTATAGCCATTTCATCCAAGGAAAGGGCTGCAATAATGGGATATTTCGTGCTTTTCACTTTTATTTTTAACGCCTCTATGGATTCTGCAGTAAAACCAGGATCACCTCCCATATTTTGGTACCATTTTCGAAGCGTACGGCGATCCGGGAGGCAAGTATCAAAAGTTTTGCGTACGTATTCATACGCCTTAGGCGAATAATAGTCAAGTGTTAGCGCAAAACTACGCAGAGCTGGACTATATTTTTGCTTAGATGGGCCACCACCAGTACTTTTTGCTATCATACGATTTGTCAGTTCTTGTATCTGTGAATAAAATTAAAATAATATATCTTCATTATCTCTGTTATTTTTATAAGGCCACCTCCATCGATGTAGCCAGCAATATTATTATTTTTTTGTCGTTTTTTGCAATTTACAGGTAAATTTCAGCTTGTATCTTGATGAAAATTTAATTCGTGACAATAACAAGTATGTATTTACATAATTATAACCATAAGAATCATCAATACAAGCTGAAACTGACCTGTAAATTGGAAAAAAAGACAAAAAAAATAAATTTCACGGGCAGAGGAATCACCTTAACATTTAAATTTTTTAGAACAGATATATCTTCGTCCTGCAATGAAAATTTTTTTTGAAGATCATTTAAAACATCTTGCATTTTATTAAATTTTTTTTTCAGTCTTCGGTTTTGTGCCTGTATCCTTCTTATCTTCAACCTCTGTTTCTTTATTAAACATTCTTTGTTGACGATTATCTTTTGTAGCTTTCTTTTCCTAGGAGTGCTTGCATTTGAAGATGACATTACGCTTTCCTACAAATAAATGAATGAATGAAACATTTGCGGAACAAGTGGTTTGTGAAATCAATAATATATATGAATCGTTGCTTGTCAAGTGAAAATTTGTGAAATAAGCTTTGGAGAAACATTAGTAAACCCATTAATCTTTAAAAAAACAACTATGAAACGATTTTTGATCAATCTTTGTAGGTATAAATTAACTTACTTCAGTGTATTTTCTTTTTAAATTTTTATCTCTTTTTGGTGTCAACGTCAACAAAGTTGAAGATGAAGCCTGTGCTTGTAAATCCTAAAATTATAAATAGCATAAAATATCTTGAAAAGCTGACTTTACACGAGCGATTATAATTCAAGATAACATATAAGTATTATGTTACCTGAGTGCCTTCGCAATTTTGCACACTGGCGGAAATAGCAACGTAACTGGGCTTATTAATTATAGCATTGCAAGAATTAGTTGTCTGAAAAATAATGCAAAAGTCTTAATATGCCACATAAACTTACAAAGTAGAAAACAAAAAATCAAAATTAAATTATTTTTAAAGAGCTGGAAGCTTGGATGATAATCATTTACCGGAGTGTGATATTAATCTACAGTAATAATTATTATAAGATTCCATACATACTCAAAATATATTTCATGAAAATTAACAATCAAATAAAATAAAACCTAAAATCAGATTTGTTCATAATGTAGGAGACAATAAATAGTAGTAGAATATGAAATATGGGACAAACTTCCAACAAGTTAGTAATAAATTTTGACAAAACCTACCAAAGAACTTGAACAAATCTGAACAATTTGTTCTCTTGGGATCGTCCCTGGTTTTAGGTACCTATAACCTGATTTTTTAATGATAAAATCATTTTCAGTAAAATGTTTAGAGCAAATAGTACTCGTCTTTGTCGGCATCCAGTTTCCTCTACCTGTCACGTCAATCCATTGTTCTCGGGCGTTAGGCTCTTTAGGAAACCTAAAATGTATAATTTATTGCTGAAGTAAAATTGCATTTTACTTATATTTTAAATACTAAACACAATATAGCAAATACTTGTAGATGACAGATCTACAGGGTGAAATTGCATTCATAGGCAATATTTTTCAGACTTATCAAAATGAAGGGAACAGCCGTTTTTCTTTCGTGATTTCAGGTTTGGTCCCGTAGTAAAAGTTGTTCATAATGATGAGTACAATGACCTCTTAAAGTATTGCCAATAATTCAATTTAACCCTATGTCCCTTTATATCATTCGGTCACATTCATTCAATGATTTAATATAACATTTAATTTACTCATTATTCGAGTACGTCTAACTAAAAATATACTATCATTAAATAATCCAAAAGTTATCTTTATCAAACGTAAATATAAATTATTTGAGAATTCTATCGATGATTTTATTTAACGACAAGGTCACCTCACTATCGATAAACATGGCGCCTTGCATCACAGCCAATCAGAGCAAAGGACGAAACGAAGTGTAAAGAACGCAATGCATGCAGTACATTGTAAGCGGACTTGGTCATTGCGTTGATTAAGCGAGTACACATCGGGCAATGTATATTTTTTTGTAACTTGTTGCAATAATATTGTTAATGTTTGGAATTTCATAATGATCAGAATAATTTTATGTTTTTTACTAATTAAATGATAATTAAATGTTATTTTCGACTTACCGATGGAAAGATATACCTCCTCGCTCTATACTTGCGGTTTGACTTTTTGTTTTACAAGTTATAATTGCACAACACGGCATTTTAAAGCAGAGCTCTGTTCTACGAAGTAGCCCGAAGCGCAACAAACGCGGTGAATGAATGAATCGGTCGAGTTATGATTTTCGAATCATAATTGTGGCGCGCTCGCCCCGCCCACATTACCATTCCAACCTTATTTATCTATTCCGTGTGTACACCCAATGCGTTTTATATTGTTATACATGTCAAACATTTGAGAATAATGAACAATTAAATCCAACCTTAAATTAAGATCATATAAATTAAACTACATAGTCAAAGAAAATAAAGAAACATGTCCAAGAGAAATTAAAATAGAAAAATATTTATTATTTATTATGACATGAACGTAACATTTTTGAATAGAATTTATTGAAAAAAATAATGACTTACGTGAAATTACACGTTGTTCATAAGTAAGGTTCCGTTATGACTAGCAACTAGTAGAGCTTTTCTCAGACATTTTACGTATGCAATTATGCATATCAGTTTTCCAATAAATAAACGTAACATATTTAATATCAACATGTCTCCTTTCAGGGATTAGTATTTGGAATGGTTTATTAGTTAACACAATTATGCTAGTAACACAAATTGTATGTTATAAAACTAGAGTCATTATTTATAGCGCTACATACCTTACAACAAATTGCGAAAGCTTTCAATGGGTTTGGCACAGATGTAGAGCGTACGACTTCATTCATGAACCGGTCGTACAACTTGCGTTGTAGTGGAGTCATTCTTATAAGGAGCACATACTCCTCCTTCTGGGGGAGTGTCGACTGCAGTACTGCGTGCGACCGTCTGCGTACAAGAAACAGTAAAATATAAGTACCTATTGTAAAGAAGTAATGTTAATATCGTCCATTCACCCACAAAGTGAACAAACGTTGCTTGCAACCAGTAAAATAATAAGCAAAAAGTAAATGTATAATAATATCTGAGTGTAACTTAATTTTTTTAGTCGGGACAAACCCGCTATAACCTTTTAAAACCTCTCCAACTCCTGTAAGCCAGGATCGTCAGTAGAAACAACAACGAAAACAACAAAATACTAAGTCTGGCCCGGTCTCAGGAACATGGGATTCCCCAACGAAATAAATCAGAAATATTATTTGATAAGAACAAACTACTTAAACATTTTCTGCTAGTTTGGGTAAATGTAATGCAGGAATGACTTAAGCCTTAAAGTCACTAAAGAAACTAAACAATTGGGAAAAGCATCACCACGAAAAAATATTAAAACATTTTGTGCTGCTATACAAATTATACATGTGTACGTGTAGTAGGAGTGACAAAAACGCCTAAACGCACGAAAATTTGTTCTACATTTAACAAGGTCCCTATAATAAACTACTCCTAATGAGGCATTTAAAAGTATAATATTGTGTGGATATACAATACAACTGATCTTCTTACCTCTGTACAAAACCGACAAGCAAAGAATGAAGTACATGCGCCCTATATCTCATGAGCCTGATATCTTGAGGCGTGGAGTCAATGCACTGTCCGTTCTGTATCGGACGCTCGAACATGTTGCAGAACTCCGTCTTGCTACCGAGATAGTTCGGACGCACGAAATCCACCATACACCAGTACTCTAGCAAATTGTTTTGTAATGGATAACCTGCAAAGAAATATATTTTGAAATGTATTATTTGCTTCTGAAAGTATACGGTATAAGTATAAGGTATGTACTTTTTTAACCTATTCATAATAATTTGAAGGCGTCTTGTTAGAAATGTACCATTTTCAAATATAACGATTTATTTTTAAATGTATACAGACCTGTTAACACTACTCTTCGTTTTGTCCTCATCTGTTTTAAAGCGTACGAAATATTCGAATGGGAATTTTTAATCCGATGTCCTTCGTCACATATCACCAAATCTGGACCAGGCTTTACCAATGCTTCATACATTTCTGGAAAAAGAAATGCAATAAAGTTAACCCACAATTTATTAAATAATTACATTACTCAATTAAACAAAGATAGAAAGAGAAAACTAGATAGTAAATGCCATAAATATGTTGTTACTGTCCTTGACTTGGTCCATAAATGTATTCAAACTGAACAAAGACAAAGCCTCTAATAATTTATCAGATGTCTTTGGCGAAACGCTCAGTGGCAAGCAGTACAGTAAGTACTTGTAATATTAATCAATGTATGAGGGTATTTAGTCAAAAAAATATTAATTTATACTAATCTATATGAATATTATTAATGTTTCTAACATTTGGAACCGCCGCCCGGTCTGACTTCCAAATTTTTTTTACTAAAAGCTATAATGCTTAGGCTGTAAGTTATACTTAATTTGCGTATTTTAGTCGCGCTAACGCTTTAAACGCTGTAACTTTTAAAATCCCGAAATAAATTACTCTAAACGCGTGCGAAGCCGCGGGCGAAAGTGTATCCTAATATATTATTATGTCTTTACTTAAATATAAAATAAGATAAATTAAAAGCGACACTACTGGAGCTAAACATACCATCTAATAGTTTTTTGTCTTCATCGTTAACAGAATCATCCTTTTTCTCGTCCTTTTTAAGCTCATCTTTCGTATCATCTATCTTCGTCACGCCATCGCCATCGTCTCTCTCTAGTTTGGATTCTTCAGATGCCTTTGTGAAAAAAATAAAAATACGGCTTAAAAATAAGCTGAATAGGACAATATTTGTAGAAAACATTTCTGTAATATGCAAAAAAAATTCTGATTTAAAGTGATTCACAGTATGTAAACAACATAATAATAATATCCTTGGTCCTGTTTTGCTTTTAAAGTTTCATAAATAGGTCAATTTAATTATGTATCGTCCCCTATTGGTATTACCTGTGTATCTTCAGTAGCAGCTTGTAATTTTTCGTCCCTTTCTTTCTCGGCTTCTAACTTGGCATCTGCTTTCTTTTTCTTACGAGGTTTCTTGTCTTTTTTCATACTGAGTAATCTGTATAACTCGTAACCTATCATGAGAACACCACCTGATGTTGTCCAGTCCTGTAAGGAATAAATGACAATATTAAATATACAATAAGGTTGAAAAATAATTGTGTCGAAATTTATTTGTTAAATGCACAGATGTTGCACAAGTTTGTGACGCTAACAAAATGTGTATTTTTTGCTGCCTTACTCAAGAATACAGAGAGAGAACCCTGCTCAGAAGAAATAAAGTTTATCAATAAATTATATCAAATATTGTTCCTAGATGTTGTGGTACTGAGTGTGATTTATAAGGTTATGTGAAAAATACTTGCAACAATTATTATATTAGAGCTACGCTTTTAATACGAACGCTTAACATCGTTTTATTAAAAGTCAGATTATTATCATCTAAGTTAACATACCTTGACCACTTTAGCTCGCATCTGTAAAGTTTTATGACTATCGTTGAGTACGTAGATGGGAAAGTTCCGCGGTCGGACCTCGCCGTGAGCTGCCAACGGACTTGTACTAGCGTCCACTGGCAACCACATGTTGAATTCCGCCACCTGAAATTATTAACAAACATTATATATCTAGTTATGAAATAGCAACACAGGAATTGGTTTGATGGTCACTCATTTGTAGCTTTTTCAATGTCCAAGATTGATACAACAATACATGAGTATAATTTATGAGTCATCCTGTATACTAATAAACTATACTGGAACTACTTAAGTGATCTAATCAAGTACAATATCAAAAACCTTCGTACTGAATAAGATTATCAAAAGGAAAACGGGTTATAGAAATACAAAGGGATAAACAAAGAAATAAACTTTTTTGGTTGTAAAGTTTAAAAAGTCTTACCCAATTCTGTAGAGTGTTGATAGGCATAATACACAGCACTGTTTTCGATGTTGTGTGCCGTAGGAATATATCACAGAAGCATACAATTTGTAACGTTTTGCCAAGACCCATTGAATGTGCTAATATACACCCAAAACCAGTTGATGTCGAGAATCGTTCAACAGATTCAATAATGTTGTCAAACAGAAACCTTACACCGCCAATCTGGAACAAACGATTTACATTAAGGAAGTGAACATTTACTTGTATTTAGAGCAAACACTGAAAAATTTAATACCAATTTATGGTCCAGTATTCATGTCAACAACTTAGGCATACGGAGTAAACAACATACTCATATCCATTATAACACGAATTTGAATTCCCAAATGGCGATACCTATACGAGGCAGACCTATTTCCATATATATCGGTCTACATCGCACATAGTTTTATTTATAATAACATGAATATTTTACAAAAACGAAAATCCTCAATAATTCTTACCACAACCTGAGGGACGTAATCAAAATCTCATACTCATTTGTAGCACATTTGACCAAAAAGTCACTATACACTTTTTAACAAACTTAAACAATAGACATAGGAATAAGCAAACAGGTTTACCTGATGAGGTTTGATAACTCTAGCAATTTGTGGTGCAAGGAAGATGTCCTCTTCGTTCTCAGGGTGACCAATATTGATTAGCACACGGCCTTGTTCATCGGGGATGTTGTACGCATCATTCACATGAAGACCTTGGAACCAAAGATCAGATTTTTTTAATAAAGTAATACACTCCTGTACTTTAGTAAACTATAGACCTCCTGTACATCAGAGGGGTTTGCTTCTTTATAAGCTTTGCAGGTGGGTTAGAGATCGCATTTTAAACGGATTATGTTTATCAGAAAACGCTACTTCCTAGCCGTCGTAAAATTTGGCCCTTAGTCAACTCTTGAGACTCAGCAGGGGTTGCGTTGCAAGCGCATTAGGTGGTGGCTCAAGCCTGGAGTTGAAAGGGGAATGGGATGATTTTTAGTCAGTAATAGTCTGACACCACCTTTCCCCCACCCAAATGATAAAATGATGTTCCCCACTCAAAAAAGAAACACATATATAGGATAGAACAATAATATCAAGATTTACAAGAGTCTGTTTATGTATATGTAGGTACTTAAGTGTGTGTAACCAAATATGTTAGGTTGCTTAGACAGTTACTTGAGTTACTAGGACATAATTAAATATGTTTATCGACGTATTCAAGTAATTGTTTGACAGGGTAACTAGACTAGTTTCAAGTTACACTGGAGCTCATATTCATTAGCAGCAATGAGCGACACACGAAACCGGTCGAGTTATCTCGCTAAACAGTAATGTGAGTAAGTACATCATACATAATAATAAGAAAAAAATATTTAAGAAATGATTCTACATTGAAATAATTGAGTTATAATAAAATTAAAATATTTTCTAGCATCTTTGCAAAGTTATCAGAAAGATAGCAACATGTTGTTCTTGCACTTATTTCACAAAGACTAGATGTTCTACTTTCTCTCACCTGAATTACTTGGATCCTCTTCGGCTTCAGGACTAGGTGGGACTTCTGAATCTGACAGCATTATGCAATCGTCAGAATCGGATGATGAAGACGAAGACTCCTCGCCACTGCTGCTATCAACTATCTCTACAACCTACATGTTTAATAAGAGAGTTAATTTAAGGTTTATATTCATGGACAAAGTAGGTATATAATGTTAAGATGGATAAGTTAACAATGATATATAAATTCTTGCACATAATCTACGATAAAAGTGTTACACTAAGGAAAGTTCAGATGCAGTATACATAGGTGCTAGATTCACGAGTGTTTCTTTTGTATAGTATACTTATAGACCTTATAGACATATCAATAATATTTTTTTCATAAATGGGTCACTTTTTAAGTGCAGTGTATAATAAATAATGCTACAATACATCTAAAAGAGAATACAAACCTCTTTCTTATCAGCCTTTTGATCAGGTTTGCCTGGCTTCGGAGCACCAGATGTAGTAGGTTTCATCAACTTTGTAACTTCAACTTGGCCAGCTTTAATTGTCTTTTTAGTTTCACCTGATGGTAATTTTACTAGCACTGTGTTTGGTAGACTGGAACAAAGACAAAAACAAATTAATATCACAAAATTTATAGAATAATATTATTTTGGTGAAGTTTTTGATACATACTTTAATTTCTGCCCAGGAAGAGACTTCTTCAATATAGAAGAACCACCGCCTTGTAGTAGTGATAGAGTTTTCTGATGAATTTTATTTTGTCTATTTATTGCTATTTGTCTTTGTACCTGTTAAATAAACATGAGATTTCAAATAAGATTATAATTCTATTTAAACATATATTTTATATGGTACACCTTGTTTTGTTTATCATAATATTTTCTATATCCAGCTAATAGAAAACCACATACTTTACTGATAGAACCTTCATCTGAGACCTTAAACTTTCAGGAAACAGAATGGTGTTTATTTTTAATTGGTTTGATTACAGAATGTAAACATTCAGAATATACCAGTAAGTAAAAACATAACACCAAAAAGGTTTTTTTGATATAATTAATTGTAACACCATTTATTTGCTACTTCAAAGGTGTACAGGGTAGTAGGATAAGAATAAGAACATACTTCTCTAATAATCCTCTGCTGTTCCTGCACTCGAGCCAATCTCTCTGATTCCTGCCTCTGAGCTGCTAATGTGGAGGCATCCAGGTTCTTCTCATCCATTACCTCCCGAATGTTACGCCTTACATTTAGAGCATTGGCATTCACTGGTTTCTTCTGAAATATTAAAATATAAATATGTTGTTAATAGTAATAGCATAAACATATGGGTTGTTTATGTTAGGAGTTCCCAGAGAAAGAGATGTTGCCTATCAACATACTCCACTCAATCCTAGCTATGCAATTACAATTACTTAAAACAATATAGTAAGAAAAAAGAATTTAAGAAGCACTAACTGATTTAACATTAATCATCATCAGCCAAAAAGTGCCCACTGCTGAGCAAAGGCCTCATATGGAGAAAGTGGATGCCTCATCACCACGCTTGCTCAATGTGGGTTGGTGATTTATCATTATGCAGTACCTATCTCTTTTTTATTAGACTTTGTCTCATTCTGTATAGATAAGAACCAACTTCTGTACATAAGTGAACTGTACGTAATAAAAATAATGGGAAATTAATTTAATGAACACAAAAGAACTATGAAAAGGATCAAAGACATATATGACTTTCTGTGAAATAATTTACATGGTTTATTAGTACAGTAAGGTATATGGTGGCATGCTAGCACAAACATTGAATTTAAGACAATTCGTCCAATGAATGTTATTATTGTATTTGTAAACATTACTGCTCTCAAAATAGATGCATAGATAATAATTGTACTATAATCATGATCCTAAAAGGTAGCATCAGTTTAACTTACTATAGAGGTTAAAGTTAAACATGATAAGCAATTCCATAAAAATACTATTTTGATCATTCATTGATTACATTTGTATAAGTTCTTTATCAATATCAATGTTACTGTTACAGTAAGTATAATTTAATCTAATAATTTGTATGAATGACAACACTAATGATAACATAAACAATTCAACAATAATGCAATACTAAAATTGTAACACAAAATTACTACTATTTGTTAGTAAACAAAACCTAATAAGAAACATGTTTTGTATTAATCCAATTATTGGCATCCAATCAAAAGTGTATTTAACAGTAACTGTTATAATCATACACATTGCTTATATGACTTTCAATACATTTTATCATAGCTAACTCAAATAATAGTAAACCTGGCTTTTATGTTACAATTTAGTACTGACCTGATTTACAAATGTACTAAGAATAGGTTCTATTGTTGTGCAAAGCAATTCAATATTGAAAATATCAAACAAAACTCACCTCATCATCACCTTCTTCCTTTGTTTCTTCGTCTTTAGGTGTTTCTTCATTTTCATCCTCCTTCTTAACAATAGGTTTGACACTAATCTCTCCCATTTCTTTTAATTTTTCCGTTATATCAAAATCTTGACTGCTGTCCTCCTGTTTCATGCCTAACAACTCTTCAGCTGTCTTCTCCGGACATAACTCACTCTCCTCAACCTCCGCTATTTCTACATTCTTATTATCTAAGTCACCATCATTAATAATGTCACTAATTGAAAGAGTTTTAGGTTGTACTTCCTCCTCCTCTTGTTCCTGATCTTGCTGTTCTTGTGGCTCTTGTTGTTCCTGCTTAACCTCAGTCTCCAGACATGCCAGTGGTTCTTCTGGGGGTTTTCTAGTACTTTGTAAATCTCTTTTAGCCTCAACAATGTCACCAGTTTCGGGGTCAATATAACTTTCATTTTCCTCATTCAATTCTTGTACAGCACTAGGGTTAACTATAAATTCCTCCTCTGACAGTCCATCACTTTCAGTTTTACTGTCTTCACTTGAAAAGTCACTTAATTCTAGGATGTTATTACCAACTATGCTTCGAATTGTTATGCCTGTGTCCTTCTTAAGTTTCTTTGTGAAGTCATGAAAGTTTTTAACAGCTTCCATTTTCCGTTTGTGGCTCATTGGCCTGGGACGAGGAGCCGCGCGCCTTCGAGCGTTCATAGCAGCTGTCTGAGCGAAATGAGCTCGCTGTATTCTGGCGATGGTTTCGTCATCGTCCTCACTGTCCACCACCTCCTCGTCGGACTCTTCCTCCTCATCTTGCACCTTGCCCTTCATTTTATTCTTTACTGAACTCGTTCCGCCGGCATCATCCATGACAATAAACTAATTTCTAATATCTCAGATTCACTAAAACCTATCGCAAGTCATCATTTTCATGCCTTATTTCATTCAACGAAATGTTGGAAACACTGTATTTTTGTTATGATCACAAGCTTATTTCATGAATGGAAATTTATTTTCTTTCACACAAACAATCTTTTTCAGGATTGCTCTTTGTAGCACTTTTACAGGACGCGGCTTATATATTCCATGGGAATAAGCCGGATGACACAATTATTCACATAGCGCTCCAGATCAGATTAAAAAATACAACTTATCGTCATATTTGATTTTAATTATCGTTAATAAAATAATGTCTGCAATTAAAATTTAGGAAGCCATTACTTCCGCAATAAATAGATAGCCTATTCAACTATTCGTATAGAATTTGTGTATTCGACAAGCGTGTTTACAAAAATTGTGGATGGGCGACTGCGTCACAAAACGTCACGAAGACTTTATTAGCGCCGACTATTAAAGTATTTAATTGCAAATTCTCTTGTGTCGAATATCTGTGTAACTTTCATTACAGCATCTCGCTCTTGCCATTGAAAATGCATCCTTGTTGTACCAAAACAATGCGTTAAAAATTGTAACAGCAAATGTTTTTGATTGATGGCAACATTATTGATTTTCTTCACAGGGTTGACATTTAATTTTGTAGTCTATGGAGTAGCATAAGGTGGATGAAAAGTGTGGTCCAAAAGATTGCAATTTTAAATAAATTATTGTAATAAAAAATATATTAAACATTTGTATTTAGGTATAAATAATTATCCACACACGTTAAGTTTTATGTGTCCTCGTAAACACCCTACATTTTTTTACTAATTGTTAAGAAAAAATAAGAGTATCTAAAATTCGTTACGAATTGCCATTAGTAATGAATAAAAAATAATAATCTTATTTTCCATGCACTGAGATGTCTGACGCAGTGTAACAAACAGAATAAATGTGGCTAATATCTGACTAAGAGTAATCAGTATGTCTCACTGGTATTTGATAATACAATTGGATGGTTTTGACCCTTAAAAATTGGCAGTGTATTTATTTTAAATGTTCTTTATTGCCCACCATGAGAAAAGCCAATAAATAATATAATTAATTAATATTAAATAAATATTTAAAAAAAAATTAATGGTAAAACAAAAGGGGCTTACAAACAAATAACAAAGTTGTTTTGTATATTCTATTTACACAGTATTCATAGCAACACAATTTATCTACTGAACATGATAGAATCATTTTATTTATGCAACACCAACAAGACGCTTCTCACGTAATCTGAGACGTCTCTCACGCTCAAATTCCTTCATGCGGAGCACATAACTGAAAGAATTAAAAAAAATATATTATTAAATTAAAATTGAACATACACTGAATTTCTATTTGTTGTCCAAAGATAGTCAAAGCCGAATTTTTTTCTATAAATGAGTCTGAGACTCTGGAATCAACATTGAATTTACAAAGAAAAAAAGATATTATCTTTGAATAAATCAAATTGCCCTATAAAATTAAAAATAAACATTCTAACCATAAAATAGGTTTGAAATGACAGGACTTATCAAATATGTAATACTTGTTGTATGGTTGATGAGCCCCAAGTAATTACATGAATGACTTATTTTAATAATGAAAAAGAATCACTCAATGTTATTACTCAATAATGGTAAGGCCTTACTGCACAATAATACTTTTTTAACTTAAGATTTTGTTGTATAAAAGAGACAAATATCAAATATAAAATATTCAACATACTCATCCTTTTCACAGGTCAAAAAGGCATGTTTCTCATGAGCGCACTTATACAGCAGTGGCATGTTTTTGTAGCGACATGTTTGATAATCCAGCAAGTAATGAGCACAATAATCACGATGTTTTACTGGTATCTTAGCTGATATTAAATCTTCTTCACGAGCAACCATTTCTGTAAAAGAAAGAATTATTTAGGACATTGTCTCCACCATTTCATCTATTTATGTTTGAGTAAATTTAATAAACATCATTCCTACGGAGTTACTCATAGACACTGCGTGCTAATGAGAGGTAGAAGTCAAATAACTTGTATAAAGTTTGTTAAATCTTCATTTCGGAGGTTTAGTCCCAAATATACAGTTTGTTTTGGCTACAACATAACCTAAACAGAAATTATGTAACTTACGTTCAAATGTAATTGAAACATACGTGTAGTATGTTAGGGATGCAAAAGAATAGGATATTTATGTTCATTATGATCATTACCTCTTGGTTTTCTCTGGTAGTTAAATCCTGCTTGGGGGTCAAATGTTGGTTTATCATCCATGTAAAGATCAACCTTTCGGGCATCGTAAGATCCCATCATTTGACCCATCTTTACGACTTGATGTTTTTCTATTTACTCAACTAATATTACGGCCTTTTTGCAGCTTCGGGCCTTTATTTATTAAAAGCCAGCTGAGCAAAGTAGAATTTTTTTACTACTCTATTTCGGAAGGAGTTACGGTGTTACAAGCGTAACAAACTTCCTAGTATCTGTGGATTTAAGAAATATTTTCCAATGAAAATTAATATTTAAATATTCACTAACTTAGTGTTCAGCAGAATATTTGCAATCTTTTATTATGTGAAGATGTCAATTACTTATAGATATGACGAGAATTCAGTATAAAGCACCAACAATATTAAAGTGCTAATAAATGGGGAAAATTTATGTATGTATATGAAATCCCCATTTTGACAGACTAACGACAGTGCATTTATGGTATTACAAAAGATAGTGAAATAAATACAATGCAACTAAAAACAGTTTCAATTTAATTGAACCTACCTGACTTTCATAATTTAACAATTTAGTGTACTATATTCATTGGGTATCTTTATATCGCAGATTAGTTATTTTTTATAGTCTGTGGTAGCCTTAAATATAGCAATAAAAGCGGGTATTTTGATTTTTAAGTAACCATTATAAGTCGGTATCTGTTGCTAAGTAAGACTTGCAAAATTAAATATAAACTTTACAAATCATGTAATAACCTACGGTATACGATGAATCCAATACCTGAAATTTTATAATAATATTCACAGTTCAAAATAAGAGGTAACAGACACAAAAATGGATTGCGTAACAAAAAGATTTAAAACTCACAATTTAAATGTTTTGAAAACTGTTGGAAAAGGAACTTATGGGTAAGTACAGAGAGTATACTTTTTGTCTACTTATCCCAATGTGAGCGCATGTATCATTAAGTCAAGAGTTTGTCAATTGTTTTCAGAAACGTTTATTTATGTGAAAAGCGTGATACTGCTGAGTTAACTATTGTAAAGGACATTGAATTAAACATTAAGCTTCAGGATCATAAACAAGTAAGTAATTTCACTTTATTTTATGGTTACGCAGCCTGTTTATAAACTGGAAGCGTGATTGTATGTCAAAAACGTAAGGACCTTCTATTTTTAAAGTAGGATGATTTCCGTATAAATAAACAGTTTCACGTTCAAACAGACTGACTACCTACCTACCTGATTTTTTGCTTGCGATTAGTCTTTTCATCTACCGTACCCATGTTTGATATTTTACTTTATCCTTATTTCAGGACATAGCAAATGAAATAAAGATTTTATCTTCGTTGAATCACTCGAATGTTATCAAGTTTTATGCTTGTTATTACAATGGTAATCATGTGATGATATCCATGGAATACGCCACTAGCGGGAATCTAGCGGAATACATGTATCATAGGTATCCAAAACTTTTGAAACAGCAGGTGAATATCCTACTTCCTACTATAATATCTATTATAAATGAGAAAGTTTGTGAGAATGTATGGATGTATGTTTGTTATTCTTTCACGCCAAAACGACAGACCGATTTGGTTGGAATATGGTAGGTATGTAGAATATGTAGATAGGTGTTACCCTTGATTAGCATGATTATAACACACTGCTTTTTAGCACTAACCTAGACATTATTATAGGTACCCCCAAGTATTTTAACCGTAGGCTCTTTGTAATGGACAAGCAAAGGCTTCGGTGGTGGAGATAGCTGTACCTACATTTATATATCAATACATGACTTGCAACTTAGCTATGCATGCAAGGTCATTCTAATCCTAACGTCGTCGTGTATAGACACTATTGTTTTTACCAATGTCCGCGCTCTATAAACCTATTGAGAATTGTGTATCGTGTAAAATATGGTTAATTTAGTAGTTTTGTAAGAACCTCGGTCTTACATTTTCAACTAGAGATCTCCGCCCTGGGCGGGGCGAGAGAAATCACATCGTTCCCTTACCTAATTCGGGCCGGGGCTGCTACTACGAACCAATAGGTACCTACTTAATAACCAGATACCATATTTATACTTACTTTCCTTTATATCATGTAACCCGTTCTTTTGGCTGATTTCAGGAAATACTTTTTTATTTCTGTCAAATTTTATTGGGAGTAAACTACATCCATAGTCAGAATATAATTCATAGAGACTTAAAAGCAGAGAATATTCTATTAACTGGCAAAAATGGTGTTCTGGTAAAGATAGGTGATTTTGGCATTTCCAAAATGTTAGCAAGGTGAGTAAGTATATATAATTAATTTTGATAACAATGTTTGAGTCACTAACCTGTCATCACGCGTTTTCCCACTTAATTCATGTACCTACATGTACACATATTTATCTAGGTATATCCAATAGATTTTTTACTCTTATTTTTAAGCACCAATATCTACTCCAGGTTTTGTGTGACTTCGATGTCTATGTAATGCGTTTAAAACAATTTACAATTTTGTACTAAAAGAAATGGAATAAAACCATGCTTTCCGGGGCCCAGGAATCGAACCTGTAATTTGATCGGCGCTTAATGTATAATTTTACCTATGGTGAAGTGATAATGACGTCACAGAGTAAATTTATAGTATTTACTTATCTAGAATGACTATATTAACTATATTATTATAACTTTTTCTTAGTGCCAAGAAGACATCGACTGTAATAGGAACTCCTTATTACTTGGCTCCAGAATTATGTGAAGGCAAACCTTATTGTAACAAAAGCGATGTCTGGGCTCTAGGATGCTTGCTTTACGAAATGTGCACTCATAAGAGAGCTTTTGAGGCAGAGGTAAGTTTATTTTTATTTATGGATCCATTTTACCTACTCTCGAATAAATGTGCATGCGTGTTTAGAAACAATGGTTTATCACTAGATACATAGTATAAAACTTTCGTCGTTTTGCCTATAATAAAGCACACATTTTGTATCTTTCAGACTCTGGTGGGATTAGTAAAAGCAATCACCAGTGGAAATGTACATCCAATTGATTTGGCAATATATGACAGAGGCATGCAGGATCTTGTTGACTCAATGCTGTCAGTCTTACCGGACAAACGACCATCTATCAAAGAACTTATGGGACGAATGGTATTACTACCTGATATTTATACTGTTTATTTAGATGCTGGCAATGATGACTTATTATATTTAAAAGCGAGACAATTTGTAGAAATTTAAATAAAATAATAATGATAACATAATGAAACAAATGATTATAGAAGGAATCTTTGTTTTATTAAAAAAAAAAAAACAGTTGTAGTATGGAGTTCTTTTCAGGTAACATCGGAAACATGAAACTGCTACCTCAACATTTTGTACCTTGAACCTTCAAATCAAACTATATTGACTTTGTCTGGTTTGATTTCCTAAATGTTGTATCTGTTCTTTCGCTTAGTAATCATGGTTTTGTGTAGTATCCATCTTAATAGCTAAATATAATATAATTAAAAAACAGTGTAGAATAAACACTGTTCTTATCAGCTTAACAAAATCATCACACTTCTATGATTAATATTAAAGAAGGACTAAAGAAAGAATAAGCTGTAATATCTGTTCTTTACACCCAAAATGTTTTTTTTTAGATAACCACCTTACTGGCCATTTTGTTGATCAGTCTCCATCTCCTCTTCTTCATCCTCTGTAATCAAATTAAAACCAACAAAGAATGAATTTTTGTAATATTTCAATATAACATCACACCAATCTTAATTATCAATATTACTGTGAATTTTATAATGCAGGAAGTTTATGTAAGTCTCATGTTGCTGGACCAACTTGGGCTCAGTGCCATTACTAATAACGAGAAAAATTAGAGACCAATAATAATTAAATTGGACTGGAAATTATACCCTAGAATCAAGGTCCTTTGTCTGAACTTTAATTACAAGAAGAACTCTAAGAGTAAAGTAAATCTTACGTTGACCATTGTTCTGAGTTTGTGGTTGTAGAGGTTTCTGTCCAGGTATCTGGCCAGATTGCAGCATCCTTGTCAGCCTTTCTACCTCTTGTAGAGAAGAGGCATTCTTGATTGCTTCACGAATCTTGTGAATTTCTTGTGGGGTAAGATCTGTAATAGGTGAAGTAGAAATTAACAATAAATTTCAAGTTCAGATTATGTAAGTACTATTTAATGAGTAAATAAATATGAGTTAATATGATTTGCTTGAATTAATGTAACAGACAATAATCTTCATTGAACATCATAGACAAGCAAAAAGAGGAAATGCAAACAAGCTGATTACTGATGGACAAAATTTGAAAGTAATAGGCATAATAGGAATATACATATACTAATTTGATTTTAGTTATGGATGGTAAGGTATGATCAAGTTATTGTTCTATCTATAACTTACTTGTAACTTTAGGATCAGGCATATTGCCTCCAGGCACAAATGTCTTTGCTTTCCTTGTAATTTCTTTCTGCATCTCCTTTCCTTTTTTACTTTTGAACAAAGCATTGGCTTCATCTCTCTCTTTTTGTTTAATTTTTCTAAAATCTAATAATCTTAGCTCGGGGAATTTGAATGCCACATATGCTCTGAAAAATAGTAAAGACAAACACTTAGAATGCCATGTCGGACAATGGTGTCCGACACTAACGGGGGGTCAGCCTTCAACAGTTTTCGTCAGCAGTCAAATGCTCAATAAGTAATGTTTGTTACACACTACTTTCTAGTAATTTTAAGAAGTTCATAAGTACCTATGATTATTTTCTTATTACATTAAACCTTTTAACTGTGGTAATTCGAGACACAAAAGAAGATCAATCGGTGTATGAATGCTGGCATTCACATTCCAATGGGGTTTGATGAATTAAAGGTACACCAAAAAATATACTAGATAATAGTTTAAATGTGTAGTTAAATTACATTTGTAATATTTTTTTTTCTAATTGATATTTCAATATAATATTTACCTGTAATGCTGCTTATTTGATACAGGATTGTGCAATAATGACAGTGTCCTCAGTTTCGGTAGTGTGGTTAGAGGGTCCAAATCACCTAATTCTGTAATATTGTTGTTGGTCAATACTAAGCTTTCTAAGTTAGGTATGTATTGCTCTAAATTTTCACCAATCCTCCTGTAACATTCAATTATTAAAGAAAAATTTATGAAACACCTAAATATTCATAATTAAAGCAGGAAAACCACTTGGGAGATGTGCCCATCAGACCTTGCTTGTATAGGTCTGTGCAATGGTTGTTCCTAATTTTGTTAGTACAGATCAATAAAGTAAATGAAATATGGTAATAAGGTCTACAATGCAAACATGTTAGATAATGATCTATCTTATGAATTACATATTAAAGTAATAGAAATAAGGTACAAGTCCTTGGACGTATGGTCTTTGTTAAGAAGATCTAACAAGACAATCCGTCTACTTACACAATTCTGTTGTTGTTCAACAACAGGCATTTGATTCTTTTCAACAATGGAAAACCATCGAGTTTCCTGATATCGTTGTCTGAAAAGTCAATGGTGTCGAACTGGTCTAAAGTTGCACCCATATTTTCAATTTGCGGGATTTTGTAACCTGAAAATAGAGGCGGGAAGACGGAAATTAGAAACATTATAAAATAAAAAGAAAGCGGTGTGAGGTTGAACACTCGACACAGCTGGGAGGAAATAAGGGATTACATATGATTTTGTACATTTTACATTACTTATCGGGTAGTAGTAAATAAAACGGCTAAAGATTGTTACACTACCCAGTGGATACTAACCTCTAAGATCTAACTCTCGATCCCGGCATGGATTCATGTACTGCATGGAGTTTTGTATCAACTCCATTGTTAGTTTCACCATTTTGAAGTTCTTTAAAACAATCAACACTAATTAAATTAGTATTTTAAGCACTATTACAAAACATGAAAACTATTATTATCGTAGCGTTGCGCGTCGCGTTGATTTGTCAAGTTGTCATTCATTTCATTGTCAATTTGGCATATTGGCTTTTTTTTGGAGTTTATGGCCTGGATACAAGTTCTTTAAGCCCACGGCATTTTTTTTTTTTTGGAGTTTATGGCCTGGATACGAGTCCTTTAAGCCAAGTCTTTTAATTTACTCGGTTTTATGTTATTATATACTTTCCAGAGTATTTTTAATGAAATTGTATAACGGCACTAAACACTTTGGATCACGTAGTAGATCTTCTAGGCGGCGGAAGGAAACATTATCTACAATTTCACTTAGTTCACTGGCTAAAATCAACCTTTGCATGTTGTAGTCACTGCATACCAACACTATGTGACTAATGTCACATAAGACGTTACAATTCAAGCACTTGTCATTTGCATCAAGTTTGAGTCTTGCAAGGTGTGCGGGTGTTCTATGATGTCCGAATCGAAGCCTGCATATAGTAGATATAAAATCTCGTCTGGCGTACTTGTATTGCTTTTGGTCATACCACGGTCTCACAGGTAAGTCCGATTGAATAGTACCGTACCACTTTCCTTTTTCTTCTTGGTCTTTCTTCCAGAAGTCTTTCCATACATGTTTTATGTTTTTGTTTTAAGCCCACGGCATTATAATATTAATGTTGCCAGATAGGCCAAGTTTTTGATTTTCCTAACTTGCCAGTTCCATATTTTTAGTTAAATTGATATAGGTATTTTATTTTACTTTCATTTCAAATGAAGTAACTTACTCAAATCAAATCATTACATTTTGGAGAAATTATGACCACATTATTAAGTTATACTAACTTACCAAAATCTACCGTCATATTTGTATGAAACATTAATAAAGAGAGAAACATTATAAATAAAAACATCATAAGTTTATTGAGTTTGCCAGTCGCCCCTGCCTGTTTATCCGTATTTATTAATATTGGTCAGGGGCAGGGGCACTAGATAGGTATCATAATCATATTATCTACCAGTCTACTATACTTACACACCCATTTCTTCTATATTGCACAATAATCCTGTATCAAACGGGGATTGTTCTTTTGTGCACTGAATAGTATTTTTTTTATAGGTCAGCTAACGAGCATACTGGTTACCTGGTGGTAAGCAATTAGCGCCGCCCATGGACACCAACCGTTGGAGTTACAACGCGTTGCCGGCCTTTTAGAGATAAGGGTTTCGGATATTAATTTAAGGATTGGGAAGGGATAGCGGGAGAGGGGGGGAGAGTCCGGTAACCTCACTCAGACGGCGAAACACAACGCTGTGTTTTTTGACTCCGGCTTTATGTGCGGCCGTGGTAGTATAGTATGGTAAATGCCAACTGATGTCCCATGACATCCAAATAAAAGTTGTTAAACGGGCCTCCGCCAGTTGGATGCGGTCCCTCGAGGAGCTTCCAAGGACCCAGTGGGCCCGTGAACGGAAGAAAACGTCAAAGTATAATACATCATCATCTGCAATGAATAATTTAATAAATTCTCAATATCATATACCTACTCACACTCACTCACTGCACGGTTGGCGCGGTCGGTGAGCCACTGGCTGCCGCGCAACGTATCGCAGGTTACGGAACAACTCTTTGTGTGATCCACAGATTGTTGTTCTGGGTCTGGGTGTGATATGCATGTGAAATTGTATGTTTGTAAACGCACCCACGACACAGGAGAAAATCCTGGGGTGGGGCAAAGTTGTAAAAAAATAACTCACAGGTTTTTTTTAGTCGAGAGTTGCGCAATGTGTCTCAGTTTCCGTTCTCACAAGGAAAAATTATTTTTATTATCCAGACATATCCCGATGATGATGATGATGGAATAAGATTGCCAGGAACTTATAATAACAATATGTTGTGTTGCTGTAAGCTTTCCTCAAAGCCTATACTTACCTAAGCTATAGCTCTATACATAAATGTGAAAATAACTGTCTATTTGTCTATCTTTCCTTTGCATCTAAACTGCTGAACAGATTTTGGATAAAATGTAGTACCTACAGTTTAAAACTCGAGAAAGGGAGCAATTTGCTTAATAGGATGGTTTTTATCCAAAAACAAGAACTTCCGATTCAAAAGGAGAACTTCCGAAAGTTGTACGAGATCGGGAACTATGTGGTTACCTACCTAAAACCAAAAATCTGCCAAAAGTCCCTATTTCTATTTCTATGTTCTTTCTGGTCGCAGTTCTAAGTCGCGCGCAGAAGCTAGCTAACCAATAAACATTTACAGATCTACATCCATGTTGTAGTGAATATGTACTAATACCTGTGAAATATAAAAAAATACCGTAAAGTTGCAACAGTTGA